TTATATTGTATGTAGGCTGCCCACCCTAGCGTGTAGCACTTAGACCCATAATCCCAACACTGGACCATGAATCAATCACAAATTCTAGAAGCCTGCTCCCATGACTGCATGATCCTTTGGGGGGACATCCAGACACAATCTATAACAAGTATGATTTTATTTATATGATGCACTCAGAATAGTCAAATTCATAAAGACAAACATAAAGAAAAGTGATTGTCAGGAGTTGGTGGGAAGAAAACAAGGGAGTTATTATCTAATAGACACACTGTTTAAATTTGAGATGATGAAGAAGTTCTAGAAATGGATGCACAACAATGTGAACATACATAATACCATTGAATACTACATTCAAAAATGAAAAAGAACACGTTAAAATTTATACTCACAAAACATTTCAGTAAAGCATTTAAAAAATAAAGTATCTACAATGACACAAAAAGAATGTCTTAAACTTTAAAACAAGATATTGTAATCCCCATTTACATGAGAAAACATTCAGAGGCACACAGCTAGCAAGTGGGAGTTGAAATTCACACTCAGATTTGATTCCTAAACCCATACACACTAAGGAATACTCCACTTTGCAGTAAGTAAAGACTCTAATCCTATTTTTAAATTAATTTCAAGAAGCAGATCAATAAAAATCAGTAAAATAAAATAAAGTGAACTCATAATTCCTCATGAAGTCTGATGGTTTTTATACTTTTATGAGTCAAAATGAAATTCAACTTTCACCTCGGCAACATGCGTATAATGAAATATAAATTCCATTTATACAGTTAAATCTATAGCTATGTGTTAGAATATAGTAACTGGAAAGATATATTTTCAAAGACAAGCAAGTACTTTAAGCATAATTTAAGACAATATATTTTAAAATATACTTTAAAAAACAATACTATGTCTGTATACATGCAAATAAGATAATCTTTCATTACTTTTACCACTTCTCATGTCCTTATTAGTATACATTGTAAATAGAAAAAAAATCAATGAAAGAACTTAGAACCAAAATTACTAATGAGGGGAGGGATATGAAATACTTACATATCATGTTACAAACTCCACTATTTAAGAAGTAAGCAAAGTAAGTAATATGTACAGATTCTTTTTTAAAAAATTATTCTATATTTCTTATGCTCAAACTACTGATGAAATCATTGTCAGACTCTTGAAAATGAATTTTTATAATAAAATGAAATTTCAAACTCTTGCACTTTTCAGTTTCTTAAATATCACAAATGCAACATGACTGAATTGCAAAATAAACTCCTGAAATAATTAATCTGCCCCCACCTTATCACAACTCTTCATTGAAAACTATATTTGGCCAGCGTGTTACACGCAACTGTAATCCTATCACTGAAGAGGCTGGAGAGAAGATCACTGAGTTTGAGACCACCCTCAAATACACAGTGAGTTCAGGCCAGCCCTGAACTACAAAACAAGACCTTCTCTCAAAAAGCCAAAAATAAATAATGTCTTTTAAAAATTTACATTTATAAGCCATTAGTGATGGAAAGTTTTAACACAGTGGTCAGGATGACATTCTAAACTACAGCCCTACATTTGCCCCACTGATTCTACTCCTAACCATTCCTTTTACCTGCATGGCAGAAAAGAGTCAGTAAGCTCCTTTCTACCGGAGGGCCTCAATACAAACCACCTACTCTGAGTAATCTTTCTTTTCTTCCTTTCACCAACTTAGCTCTCACTCAACCTTAACCTCATCGCATAACTGTTGCTCCCTTGAGGTAACACCTAATACACAAATGTACTTTTTCTTTTCTTTGGAAAAGGGTAGCTAATGTATGTGACCATTTACTCAATATCTATATCCACCACTGTAGTATAAACTCAATGAGGTGAGAGCTGTTTCTACTTTTACTCACCACTACATCCCTCAGCATCAAGCACACTTATAAAAGGTGCACTATAAGATATGTAGCAAATTAGTAAGACAGTGATTTAAAGATGTAAGTCAAGGGCCAGGAATTTAGCTCACGTGCCTAAGCACCTGCCTGGCAAGCGTGAGGTCATGAGTTCAAGCTCTAGTTCAAAGCAAAGAAAAAAAAATTTTAAACCAAAATAAATAAAAACAAAGTGAAGAAAACATCAATTTTTAAAAAATTAATCAGATTAATGAAGAAAAATAGCATAAAGTATAACAGTTATGAACCAAACTTCCTGTTAATAATTTTTTTCTGTACCTTAACTGTTGCAAGGTCTAACAAAAAGTTTAAGAATGCCCCAAACAATAAAATATATAATCACCCTCTATATATCTCTTTCTCTAGCAGTTTTACACCAACTATTTAAAACAAAAATAGAGAAACAAAAAGATACAAAACAGATTATACTTTATTAATCAAATAAGAAATGATGAGGTTAAGAACCAAAGTGTCATATATGCACTAACAAGTAAAATAAGTAATGCACCAGAATTAGAAGGGGAAGCTCAGATCCAACAATGTAAATTACACACATATAATTATTCAATTTCTATTCCACCACTAGACTGGAAGCATTAAAAAAGAAAACAATGTATCACATTCTGTGCTCACTATATAACCTCAGCATCCACAAAACAGAAAACACTAGTTAAGGAAACTAATTAATTAACTACATCTCCGGTGACTTTTAAGATATTTGAAGAAAATAATAACTTAAGTGAGAGCAATATAACAGAAAAAGGTATCTCACATTCATATTTTATCTAATTATTTGTACTAAGGTTATAAATCAGTGGTACAAGCCTGCCTAGGTTCGATCCCCAACACTACACACAACAAATAAAAAATTTAAATAATCTGTTACATATTAAAATACATTATTATTTGGAATTAAAGAATTATTTTTCTAATCTCTATGAGTCTTTTTTTCTAACCACAATTTTCAGAAAATTTTAATTGTGGTTATAAATATATCATTCTGTATTATATGCTAGATACTAATACATAGCATATTTTATCAATTCAATTATGCATTTTTTCATCTTTTAACATCTCTGAAATAAACTATAATAAGAAAGTATTATATCTAGCTATGGGGGGATGTTTTGTTTTGCTTTTTGTTTGTGGTACCTGGATTGATCTCAGAGGCTCATGCACATGAGCCAGAGCTCTCAGCATTGAGTTATATTCCCAGTCTTTTTGAAATTCTATTTTGAGTTGTTCTAAATAACTCAGACTAGCCTTGAGTTTGGGATTCAGCTGCTATCGCGTTGTAAGTAGCTGAATTTACAGGGCTACATTAGTGCCTATATCTAGTTTAGATCTTTTTCTTAATTAAGGATAGTATCATTAGCCTGAACAAAATAAAGTATGTATGCATCCAACCAAATTTATTTTTTCTGTGTAAGCATTAAGAAAACATCAAGTAAATACTATGTAAGAAACAAGACAACCGAAGGCATTTTTACTAGAACATTTATTAATAGTTTCAGGCCATCATCAGGACTTTGCTATCACTCTAAATTGCTTTAACTCTGAACATTTTAAGTCAAACATTCTTCTCTAATGATGGATCCCTACCCTACGCTAAGCTCTACTGCACTCATCAATGTAATCTCTCTCATGCCTAATCTTCAGTTTTTTTCTCCCATCCTCCTCTCATGTGTCTGTCCTATTTCCTGATAGATACCCATTCAGATGTTCCATTTACAGAAACAAAGTAATGTCCCAAACAGATCCCCTATTTCCTGCTTTTTTAACTTAACATATAAGATAATGCCATTATGATCCACTATGATTCATTCAAGTGATCAAGTACAAAACTCCTAGAGTCACAATTGATTTCTATTCTTTCTTTGAAATTCTTATACAGTGACCAGAAACAGTAGAAAAACAGAGTTTCTTTCAACATACAGGCTTCAGGTTCATTTCTTTACAAAACTGAATCCTCTCCACTCCAATGTTACTCTGTACCTGCACCATGAACCCTCCCAGAAGGTCTCTCTATACCTTTACCAAAGTAGAGCTGCCTGGATTAGTGCTTTTCAAACTATCTGTGTAAGTTTTTGAAAACAGAGTAAAAATAAATTATGAGGCAAAGGAAAAATATTAAGGATCTACAAAAAGTATTAACACAATTTTTTATTATTTGATCGGAATGAAAAAAATAGCTAAACTGCTATAGAATTTCTAAATCTTCATTCTCAATTGCTATAGTTATCTTAGTGAAAGATTCATCACAAAGAAAAGCACAGAAGCAGTCCACACTCAGTCCCTATTTCCTACTTTTGTGTTGTTTACATTAATAGGCTCCTTATAACACTATTACTATACAGTACAGTCCTGACCTAAACCTTAACCTCAATCCCATTTTATCAGAGAATGACTGTTATTGGCTTGCTTTTGTAATCCAAAGAACACAACCCACACTACAGTCTTACCTCTTTTGATTAATTATATCACTCTTTCCATAACAAATAGCTAATTTAGTTTCTTTAATCCTTACATCTCTAACAGGCAATTAGAATGTCCTTCTCTCCTCTGAAATAACTAGAATTCCCTTGTCTATTAATTCTACCTTTTCACCATGTCAAAAAGAAAAAGCGCAGAAAAGTTCCACAATTTAAGAAAATTTCAATGCATTAAGTATAGTTCAGTGGTAGAGCACTTGCAGAGCACTCAGGGTTCTAGGTTTGATATGCATTATGACCAAAAAAAAAAAAAAACAATTCAAAATGTCTTTAAATCAACATCAGTTTCATCCAGAAATACTGCTCAGTGACTCAAATTAATGCTCAATTAAAATATGATATCAACATGATATCAGAATGTATCAGGATATCAACATGATACTTTAGAGTAATTCTTCACATGTGAAGATCATAGTAAGTAACATTTAAAAATACAAATTAACAGATAACTAATGCAGTATTATCTTGCAAAAAAAAGCCATCTTCTATTACTCAGTCTTTCTAATTTCATTTGAGCAGTAATGAAAACACTGACTTTGATGAAATCAATGGGTGAAAAAGCAACTGCACTTACGTGTTAGATGAAAGATCCCATCACAGGCACTAATATGAGATAAAAAGGCATTTCCCAAGCCCTGCCCATTGTGAGCTCCTTTCACAAGGCCAGCAATATCCACGACATTTAGAAAGGCAGGAATTTTGCTGAAATACAAATGATGATTTTATTATAAAATAGTACTAAGAACTTTTTATCAACTAAGTCAATTCCCAAAATGTTTCATATAAAGTTTTCCTTTCTAGAGCAATGTTTAGAAGGTATTTAATAATGATTTGATTAACATCTTCCCAATAACAAAAAAATAAGACGCAACCTTTTATAACATGGGGACTTTCTTATCCTAAGAAAATGAAGGAAAAAAGTTAAAAGCGGAATAGAATTTCTATTGTATCTGAGATTAAACGCTTACCAGCAAATTTACTAAAAGTTGTATTATTGGCACATCATCCACATATAAACACATACACACACAAAAGCAGTAAGGAATATACTGACAGAAGGCAGGGTAATCATCATAAAATAAGTCAACACTGGCCAGAGGTGATGGCACAGACCTGTAAACCCAGTCTTTGGAGGCTGAGGTAGGAGGATCACCGTAAATTCAAGACTAATCTACACAAAGTTTAAAGACCAGCCTGAACTACAATACCTAGAAGAGGCCTTGTCTCAAAAAAAAAAAGTCAACATGTGTCAGGTATTACACTAAGTACTTTACATCTATTATCTCATTTCAAAGTTCAAAACAATTCTATTAAGTAGGTGCTACTCAATTCATTTGGCAGACAAGGAATTTGTGCCTTATAGTAGTTAAGAAATTCACTGCATACAGACAGGTCACTCAACTAGCAGTAATAAAACAAGGATTTACATACAAGAAGTCTAGATGAAATATAGATGATTTTCACTCCTCACATTATACATTTCCCTATTGTCTAAACTTCCTCACTAAACTATCATTTTACCTAGTAAAAGTTTTGTTTTTTCTAATTAAAGATATAATACTGGCTATTGTAAAAAAAAAATTCAAACACAATAAAAAAATTAGGAAGACAGTCAGCCTTCCCTATGGCAGATTCCATATCCCTAGATTCAACTGATCATTGATTAAAAATATTCTGGGGAAAACAACTGCACCTGTATTGAACATGTATACTTTTTTTTCCTGTCATTATTCCCTAAATAGAATGTAAGAATTATTTATATAGCATATACATTACATGTTATAAGTAATCTAGAAATAATTTAAAGTATACTGAAGAATATGCACAGATTTATATGCAAATATTACACCATGTTATAAAAGAACTTCCAGCACCCACAGGGTTCTGTAATCAGTTCTAAAGAACTACTGAAAAGTTAAGATCACCTAAAAGCCTCACTACCCAGAGATAACTATTAATTACAGTAGTTCAGTCTTCCTTATATATCGTTTCCTATGAACACATACATTGTAATTTCACATAAATGAGATCATGAAATACAGGCTCTAGTTCATACTCACCAGAAAAAAATAAATGCAAATGTTAACCACCAGGTACATCCTTCTTTTCCTCCTTCTCCATGCTCTACAATTGCTTTTATAATTACCCAAATCAATGCTACATTAATTTTGAAAGAAAAATCTTCCACCTGTCTTAGAATATACCATGTGTATATTCTCAGATTATACAGTGCCATTGAAAACAATTAACATTAAATTTTTCTTACCTTGCAGGTTTGTGATACTGGCAAAGAAAGTCAAATCTTTCATCTGGCACAGGGACTCTGCTCTCATTAGGATCAATAGTGCAGAATGGAAAGTTTTCTGCTGAAGCCTGGCTATTCGTTAATACATTAAAGAAGGTAGATTTCCTAAAATGAAAAAATAATTTCTATTAATTCTTAGATTAATTCCAAGAAAAAGTTAATCCATGCCAATTGTAAAATGAAATCTATGAGGAATATAAAACCAATCTGCAAGGGCAGGGGAAATAATACATTTTTACTTAGAAAAATGGATATAATTTATAACAATTTGCAGCTCATTATCTATGTTTCTGCCTTAGTCTATTTGAAAAGAATGTTTCCAAAGAATCTTTATTAAAAGACAGCTCTCGTTATACCACAAAATATATTTTTTTCATAATGTACCAGAGAGTACCGGAATCATTTAACTTATATCTAATATATCCTTTTCTAATATGCAATGTTGAAAGCTGTGTATCTAGTTAGGACAACCACTTCCCAAGCATTCTGAATTGAAGAGAAAGATCCCAATTGTCTCACATGAAATGGAAGGATGGGCCTCCGTCTCTTCCTAATTGTGAGTACATGAGAATTACTGGTTCAGTTTAGAATTGTGCACTGTGAAAGTAAAAAATAAACTTTTACCAAGTTGTGGCCTAAATCAAGGAAAAAAAATTCACCTGGCCTAGTGGTACACACCTATGATCTCAGCAAATGGGAGGTGAAGGCAGAAGAACTGCTTTGAGTTCAAGGCCAGTCTGGGCTATAGCAAGACCCTGTCTCAAAATACCAAAAAAGAGGAAAAAAAAGAAATCTATTAACATAGAATAAACTGGTCACTGATTTTTCTAACTGACTGATTTTACGTGCTAATATGCCAACTCATATTAACACTAGCCATGTTTTTGAAGTATAGTATTTAAAATGACAAAAATATTAAGACAAAAAAAATATAAAATGACAAAGGAAAACTTAATTTTTGAAGGCTTACTATTTGTTCTGCATCACTTTTCAATTCCATCACTAATAGACACAATAAAAAATTCACTATAGTGACTTCATTGCTCCATGTATAGTACATATGAAAAATTTTACATGAGTATTACTGTTCCATAATCGTTTTTTGTTTTAACTGAAGAAACTGAGGAGGTAGCAAAAGATCAGTTGATAACTGAGATTGACACTTGCTAACTCTGGCTAGCCATTAGCTTATGTAAAAATGTTTACACGTGGGCTAAATTTGACAACAAATGAATACTCAAAATGTAATAGATGTGTTACTGTGAGATTGGATAGCTACTTCTCTGTTTTCCAAAAAACAAAAAATAGAATTAAAATGTCTATCAGACAAGATCTAATTAGTCTATACTCATCAAGAGAAATGTACACTTACTACAGTTAGCTCATCTGCCTGAACTTTTAAATCAAAGAAGCAGTTCCTTTTTAAATCTGAGAGCCCAAAAAAAAAGTGATAAACAAAAGTCATTAAGGTTATATCTAAGTACCACAAGTGAGAAGTGTGTTTTAACAACCAGATACTAACTCTACCTGCCTACAGGTCTTTAGATATCATTTAATATCACTGAGACTAAACAATTCAGAGTCAAATACAGATGTCTGCTAAAACAGCCACACAAATTACTGCTACTTAGACATTAGACAAATCAGTATGTTTCAAATGCCTGCCTAAGAGAAATCCCAGGGGATGAAAGTAGGTATCATCAGTCCTCTTTCCAAATCAACTGGTGTAGGCACCTGTATTTTAAACACATTCACGTGAAGTGAAGTAAGGTTGTGTTGTTTTTCTTCTTCTTTATTTTTTTTTTTAATTTAAGGAGAAAAGAAAAAAAAAAACAGTGAAGGGGTACAAGTTATACAGATTTACAGAAGAAAAAAATGCGCAGTAGGAAATCACTAGTTAATGGATTACATATTGCCATCTTAGAAATAATTGTTCAAGTCACAAAATTAAAGCTTGTAGAGTGGACATTCCATAAATGATACTGCAAATAGTTCTGTTCAATGATCCAATAAAACTCTGTGATATCATTTTCTATCTTATACACTTAACTATACATGCAGTTATATAGTTTAGAGCACTTTCTTTTCCTCTCTTTTGTACAATGACTATTACACATTTTCGGTTTCATTGCTCCCACGGTTCTTATTCCTTTTTTGGAAGAGAGTAAAACCAAATGTGACATAACAGAACAGAATCGGTCAAGTCAAAAGGGTGGACATAATAGATAATATAAAAACATAATACAAGGTGATCAACAATGGTTACCATAATGCCTCCCGCTATCTCTAATAGAATTGCCTATATCACTAGTTGTAATACAATTGAACAAAACAGTAAAGAACAAAACCGACAAAACCAAAACATTGGAGACATTGTAGGTCTTCAAAAGTAGATAAAAGTCAACGAGAATGGGCGTTATAATGAATCTCATTATCTTCTCAGCTGATGCCTAAACTTTTGAACCTGATACTATCCAGCAAAACAGAATAGGGGAACATCACTCAAAAACAAGATGGTGAGAGTAATACAGGGCTTCAAATCGAGATAATAGAAAGTCAAAGTGGGTTACTATATTGTATCCTGCTATTTTTTTTCCCTTTAATTAAACAGATAAAAATAAAAAAGTAAATAATGGAGTGGAGATTGAGAAAAAAAGAGGGCATAACAGCGAAACAGGGCAGATCAAAACATAACCATTTAAGCAGAATAGTGTTTCACCACCAGATAATTCCGACCCAAAAGTAGTTACCATATTGACTCTTTCCTTGAAGTCCTTGAGTACAACTTCGTATATTGTAGCATTAAGTATATCAAAACAATGTAAAACCATTTAAGAGAATGACAGCATTATAGAGTATTTAGAATCGACTAACAGAAAATGAACAATGGTTTCTGTATAATCTCCTTGTCTTTAAAAGGTTTTTGCTTATACTATTGTACATAATAAAATTCAATAAGATACAACCTGTTTAGACCATTGGAGACAAGAACAAAAGCTAGATGAGACTTCAAAACAAGATGGTACTAAATCAGCATTACCTATTAAGATGTCATTTTCTCCAAAATAGCTGTTCCTATCATCCAATCTTCTCTGTCTCATTTCTGTTGAGCTCTTTTTCTGTCAGTAGCTGTCAGTTTGTCTTCTTCATTTTGTTCTCTGCTCCATTCGTTGTGGCCTCCCCGCCACTATTTCTGGGTTCTTTGTATTTTTCTTTTTTTAGAATATCCTGCAATACTTTCTGTAGGGTTGGATTGGTGGTTGCAAATTCCCCCAGTTCCTCTTTATCCTGGAAGCACCTCGTTTTTCCATCAATTTCCAGGGACAGTTGTGCAGGATATCTCAATCTTGGCTGGAGATTATTATCTTTCAAAGCTTGAATTATTTCCCCCCATGCTCTTCGTGATTTGATGGTTTGTGCAGAGAAATCTGCTGTAATTCTGATGGGTGTTCCCTTGTAAGTGATCTGTTTCTTGTCTCTTACAGCTTTTAATATTCTGTTCTTGTATTGAATTTCTGGAATTTTTATTATTGTATGCCTGGGTGTTTCTCTGTTAGGGTTGTAGGTAGCTGGGGTCCTGTATGCCTCATACATCTGAGTATCTTTACCTTTTGCTAAATTAGGAAAATTCTCCTGGATTATTTCTGTGAGTAGCTTTTGTAGTTCACTTGTTTGTGTCCCTACTTCTTCTTTTATGTTCTTAATCCTTAAGTTATGGCTCCTCTTATCATCTTCTTGTCTTTGTATTATTGCTGTTTGTTTCTTTGTTATTTTTAAGAAGTTTTTCATTTCATTCTCCCATATTACAAGTCTGCCCTCCAGATCAGATAGTCTGTCCTTAGTTTCTTTCAAGCTGTTATGCCAGTCTTGGATAGACTTCTTAATTTCTTGATAGTCCCTTTGAACCTGCTTCACATACTCAATGCTTTCTCTGTTTTCTCCATCAAGCAATTCTCCCCTCTTTTTCTGTTCTTCCATTCCACCATCTGTTTTTTCCTGGGGGGGTGCTTAGCATTTCTCTAACTATTCTGCATACTTCTAGCTTCAGGTCGTTGATAACTTCATTCCTGAATTGGTCTATGAGGCTCTCTATACGGCGCTTAATGTATATTGGTGCGGTGTCCACTATTGCCTGTTTCTCAGAATTGGGGGCCGAGGAGCCTTTCTTGTTGCTTCCCTTCCCCATATTTTCTGTTCCTTATAAAATGCAAGCTTACATAGGAGGCCCGGCTTCCCTGCCTGTCAGCCACAGCCTGATCAAATTGCGCTGGCTAGATGTTCCCGCCCACCGCTGCGCACCAGGGAGTTGCGGAGGAGGCAGCCTACGCGGGAGTCAGTCGCCCCTCCGGCCACCGTCAGGCTCTGGGATCTGGGTTAGGCCAGTCTACCGAGTCCGCCCGCAGCGTCACGCAGGCCAGGCACTTTTCACCAATCCCGTCCGAGAGGGGAATGTGTGGCTGGAGTGTCGCCACCGCGCCCTGCTCCCGCAGGACTGCCTGAGCCCAGAAAGTCCTCCGCTGGAGTCAAACTGTGGTAGGGAGTCAGTTTCTCTCACTCACCTCGCCACAAGTCAGTGTACGCCTCCTTGTCTGTCCTGTTTTTGACTCCGTTCGCAGACTCCCATTCCCAGAGCTTCTGCGCGTCTCTCCTTGCCGAGCCGCTGTGGAGGCAGCCAGCTGCTGAGCAGCGGGAAACCCAAATCACGGTTTCCAATGGCACGGGGTCGAGCCTCCACACCGAGTCTTTTCTGTTCCTATTTTAGCGCCAGGACTGTATTCTAAGTTGGTTTCTCTCAGCCCAGTTCATTCCTGAGTCAGCAGAGCATATCTCTACCGGATCATGTCTCCGTAGTCTGCATCATTCCTGGCCTCTGAGCCGAGCCTTTCAGAGAGCCTCTGGTAGTTGCTGTTGTCTGTCCGCCATGTTCTCCCCAGAATCTGTTTTTCTTCTTTTATGAAGTCAAGTTTTAAAGACACTGGGCTAGATTCAGACTCAGCTAAAAACCCATGGTATGATGACTGTTGTAGAATTTATAGTGGCAACCCCAAAGAATCTAGAAAATTCCAAAACTGTAGTAATAATTAAAACTAAATCACTATCAACCC